TCTTTCTGAAAAAAATTCTAACATAGTGTATATACGGTGATTCAACTTCCTTGAACGAGCACGGTCTCTCCGAGCTCTAAATATCTGGAGGAACAAAAAAAAAAAAAATGTGCCTCATCTGAACCTTTGGGTCTGTGAAAATATGGGGCTGAAGAGAGGGAAATATATATCACCAAACAGGAGCGCGTAGACCATTTTGAACACTGGCCGTGTTACAAAATAAGTATAGAGAAGTTCTCGTCTTAACTCTTGTCGCGTTACGTCATAAGAGTTCGTAGTGATGTCATCTTTTAATAATTCGTCGGGTTTTCTATTACTCTGAAACAGAATTCGCCTAGCGTTGGATTGTTCCCTGATTGACAGGTAACTTGAGCTGGGTTTAGAACGCCATGATACCGTGTAATTTTATAACAAGAAAATAAAATTCGAACAAATACTTAAGCAGAAACCAATGCATAACGAAAGACTGATTTAATAAGTAGGGGAAGAGTAAAGAAATCAAAAAAAAGGTACGAATTTATATTTCAATCGAGTCGAGTATTTCGTTGGTCGTGGCCACGACTATGCCGTCCAGTACGTGAGGAATCGCGGTATGTGAATAACGGTTCAGGTGTTCCTTCGAACAAACGATCGTTGCCACAGTACCTTGGCGCGATATACGGCTGATTACCTCTAAGACGCATCTGCGACTGGTACCGTCATATTATCATGAAAAGCATAGCAAAATCTGTAGGATACTTCTCTGATGCAATATCACGAGTTTACCGTTTCCTTAGAAGATGCAATGGATTCTACTAAAAGGGAAAATAGACCCTTGCTGAATTGTGATTCTCCCTGTAACCGAGCCGTAAAGTAAACTGGATCTAATGGCGGTCACTCTTACAAAGGACGACACAGACTTGTTCTCTGCTGAAGAGCACATTTTCTTTATTAAGAATTATCAACTGTGCAGGCCAAAAGAAGTGATAGACGGAGTTTAAATTAAAAATAAAAATTAGGCGTCTATTTGAAATACGACTATCCACCAATAGAACAACGTTAGAATTATTAATACCCATTCTACTAAAAGCACATAAGCTGATAAGAAACAAACTGTTTGCTTTTTATGTGCACTTGCTAAGCACTTGGAATTTGAGAAAGCATTACTGATTCATTAAGCGAACAATAGGTAAATACAATTTAAATTAGATAACGCATGGAACATTAGGATAGAATGTAGATTTTGAATTCCATCTCCCTCTTAAACTATATATTCGGAAGGAAGTTAAAGAGACAATTGATAATGAGGAAAGACGGTTTGTAAAATTTAACACGCATTGGAAAGCACGTGAGGCATAGGAAAGTAGACAATAACCTTTCTAATGAGCAGGTTTTAATGGATAGCAAAACGGGGATTACGAAAGACAGCAACCTTAAACAATAATCTTTGTCAATTTTATTTTTCAGTCTTTATGATGGTGGATACTTGATCTATCTCTTACTGTTATATCCCCGGGCAACGCCGGGCTCTACTGCTAGTAATAGATAAATTGATAAATGGTATGAAAAGAAAGAAAGAAAGAAAGAAAGAAAAAAGAAGGAAAGAAAGAAAACGGAAGAAAAAGAAAGAAACAAAACGAAAGAAAAACTAAGGAAAAAAGAAAAAAATAAAGAAAGAAAGAAAAAGAAAGAAAGAAAACAGAAGAAAAAGAAAGAAAGAAATCGGAAGAAAAAGAAAGAAAGAAATCGGAAGAACATAGAAAGAAAAAAGAAAGAAAAACGAAAGAAAAAGGAAGAAAAAGAAAGAAAGAAAACGGAAGAAAAGAAAAAAGAATGAAATCAGAAGAAAATAGAAAGAAAAAAGAAAGAAAGAAAATGGAAGTAAAAACAAAGAAAAAAGAAATAAATAAAAAAGAAATAAAGAAAGAAAACGGAAAAAAAGAGAAATAAAAAAAGAAAGAAAGAAAGAAACGGAAGAACAAAGAAAGGAGGAAACAGAAAAAAACAATGAAAAGAGAAAGAGAGAAAACGGACAAAAAAAGAAAACAAACAGAAAGGAAGAAAGAAAACTGAAAGAAAGAAAGAAAAAGAAAGAAAGAAAAAAGAAAGAAAACGGAAGAAAAAAAGAAAGAAAACGGAAGAAAAAAGAAAGAAAAATGAAAGAAAGAAACGGAAAAAAGAAATAAGAAAGAAAGAAAGAAAGAAAAGGGACGAAGAAAGAAAGCAAACAGAAAGAAAGAAAGAAATAAGAAAGAAGGAAAGAAAAATGAAAGAAAGAAAGAAAGAAAAAAGAAAGAAAACGGAAGGAAAAAGAAACAAAGAAAAAGAAAGACAGAATGAAAACGGAAGAAAAAGAAAGAAAAAGAAAGAATAAAGAAAAAAGGAAGAAGTAATGAAATTTAAAGTGATTAAGTAGTTATTTAAGATTGCAAAAAGCAGAATATTTCAAGAATGAAGGAAAAGAAGAATGCAAGAAAAAGAAATAGAAGGGAAATAAGGGAGATAAAAAGAAAGAAAAAGA